TGTCCTTGGCGGGTCTTAGATAGGTCGAGGGAATCAAGCTGGCGATCGATAAATATCCACCGAGAACAGGCGCGCGCTCTCTTTTCATTCTCACGGCACATCTTCTAATCTACCAGCAAAGCTTTAATTACAACTGCAAATTAATTTCTCGGCACACAAGCTGCAAGACCCGGTCTACGTAAAAATCACACTACACACAACATCTGACTTCATCGCAATCTAAATTATGGATTATGTTCTAAAAAGTAAGAACAGCCATACCCCAATAGAATTTGATGATGCAATTGTTCGTTTTAAGGGTTTGTTTATTTTTTTAAAGGGGACATAAACAACCAAAAATGTACCAGATTGTGTGTAAAGATCTTAAAAAAAAATCAAGACTAATATAAAGATTGTATCTAAAGCATTTAATGGTCGGGTTCCCCCTGGACTTCTAAAGCATTTAATGGTTGCTTAGGGCAGCTCTTGTCAGTCCATCCAGTTCAACCATTAAAAGTAAAAAAATAAAAAGTGGAGAGGACAGAAGGAGCAGTGTAGAGGTGGTGCTGGGGGGGGGGGGGGGGAGATGAAAAATGTAAAGGTAGAGGTTGAAAAATAAATAGTGGAGAGGGCAGGAGGTGAAGAAAAAAAAAGTGGAGAGGGCAGGAGGTGAAAAAATAAAATGTGGAGAGGGCAGGAGGTGAAAAAATAAAAATGTGGAGAGGGCAGGAGATGGGGGGAAAAAAAAAAAAAAAAAAAAAAAAAAAAAAAAAAAAAGTGTAGAGGTGAGGTGGTGCTGGGGGGGGGGGGGAGTTGTTGAAAAATTTAAAGGTAGAGGTTGAAAAATAAAATAGTGGAGAGGGCAGGAGGTGAAAAGATAAATAGTGGAGAGGGCAGGAGGTGAAAAGATAAAATGTGGAGAGGGCAGGAGGTGAAAAAAATAAAATGTGGAGAGGGCAGGAGGTGAAAAGATAAAATGTGGAGAGGGCAGGAGGTGAAAAAATAAAATGTGGAGAGGGCAGGAGGTGAAAAGATAAAATGTGGAGAGGGCAGGAGGTGAAAAAATAAAATGTGGAGAGGGCAGGAGGTGAAAAGATAAATAGTGGAGAGGGCAGGAGGTGAAAAGATAAAATGTGGAGAGGGCAGGAGGTAAAAAAAAAAAAATGTGGAGAGGGCAGGAGGTGAAAAAATAAATAGTGGAGAGGGCAGGAGGTGAAAAAATAAAATGTGGAGAAGGCAGGAGGTGAAAAAATAAAATGTGGAGAGGGCAGGAGGTGAAAAAATAAAATGTGGAGAGGGCAGGAGGTAAAAAAATAAAATGTGGAGAGGGCAGGAGGTGAAAAAATAAAATGTGGAGAGGGCAGGAGGTGAAAAAATAAAATGTGGAGAGGGCAGGAGGTAAAAAAATAAAATGTGGAGAGGGCAGGAGGTAAAAAAAATAAAATGTGGAGAGGGCAGGAGGTGAAGAAAAAAAAAAAACAGTGTAGAGGTGGTGCTGGGGGGGGGAGTTGTTGAAAAATTTAAAGGTAGAGGTTGAAAAATGAAATAGTGGAGAGGGCAGGAGGTAAAAAAATAAAAAGTGGAGAGGGCGGGAGGTGAAAAAATAAAAAGTGGAGAGGGCAGGAGGTGAAAAAAAAAAATAGTGGAGAGGGCAGGAGGTGAAAAAATAAAATGTTGAGAGGGCAGGAGGTGAAAAAATAAAATGTTGAGAGGGCAGGAGGTGAAAAAATAAAATGTAGAGATGGAGGGGGTGGAAAAAAAGATGGAGGAGGCAGTGGGTGAAAAAATAAAAAAATGGAAAGGACAAGAAGTAAAAAAATAAAAGATGGAGAAGACAGGATGTAAAAAAAATACAGGACAGGAGGTGAACAAAAAGAGAAGAGGAAAGTAAAAAAAAAAAAGAAAAAAAAAAAAAAAGAGGAGATGGCAGGGGGGTGAAAAATAAAAGGTAAAGATGGCAGAAGTAGTTGAGAATCCGGGAACAGAGGGATCTGTACCACAGGTTGTGGAACAATCTCTCCTCCAATCAACATTTCACATTGCCCTCTTTTTCGGTCAGATAATTCCCGGGTGCTGCCCTATTTACGGTCACATAATCCGCTGTCAGCGCGGTTCTAGCGGCCTGCTGGGGGCGTACTGATGAGATTATAAAGCGGCGGGCTCCGAAATGACAGAATACATTTAGTCTGGGAAACAATCAGTAAAACACATATAAGCCTCTTATGATGTGCTGCCCATTTAGTGGAGTGTTTCACAATCAGGAAATCCATCTATTGTGTTCAGACACACAAACAGCTCCAGGAATACGCGTTCACTTTTAACCCATTGAAGCATCTAGCAGCGTGCGCGTACCAATGGCCTGGCATTCAAGGGGTTAATGCAAACCCACAACTGCAGCCCTGAGCCAAGTATTGATTTTTTTTTTTTTTTTGTTAGAAAAAAAAAAGTTAAAAGTAATTTGGGCGGCTCGCTTTTTTGGGGTTCACCCCCCTCCCCCACCGGGTGCGGGTGGTTCCCGGACTGCAGCGTCTATAGTGGGTGGTGATCACGGAACATCCCCTTTGCGACTGATGAACCTGGAAGGAACGTGAATTACATCACTTCAGGGTTCAGATCTGTCGTTTCTCACGCTACTGTCGTTGTGGAATCGGCTAATACAGCGTGAACTGTGCTTGATTAGCTGCAGTGGAGGGCGGAGACATTGCGTTCACGGTGGTGAACTTCACTTTTATATACAGCTATATTCTGTATATACGCACTTGTTAGAAAAATCAAGCTGCTGTCCAGCGTGAGGGTTTACAAAGGCATTCGGTGCGCACAAAGTGGATTTAACCCCTCGCCTACCGGGCACTTATACCCCCTTCCCGTCCAGGCCAATTTCCAGCTTTCAGCGCTGTCGCAGTTTGAATGACAATTGCGCGGTCATGCAAGATTGTACCCATATGAAATTTTAATCTTTTTTTTCTCACAAATCGAGCTTTCTTTTGGTGGTATTTAATCGCCGCTGGGCGCTTTACTTTTTGCGCTATAAACAAAAAAAGTGCAAAAAAATTTGAAAAAAAAAAAAAAAGTTTGTTTCAATTATAAAATTTTTCAAACAGGTAATTTTTCTCCTTTCCTGATGTGCGTTGATGAGGCAGCACTGATGGGCACTAATAGGCAGCACTGATGGGTAGGCGGCACTGATGGGCATTGATAGGCAGCACTGATGGGCATTGATAGGCGGGGCACTGATAGGCAGCACTAATGAGGTGTAAGGGATAGGTGGCACTGATAGGCAGCACTAATGAGGTGTAACGGATAGGTGGCACTGATAGGCAGCACTAATGAGGTGTAACGGATAGGTGGCACTGATAGGCAGCACTAAAGAGGTGTAACGGATAGGTGGCACTGATAGGCAGCACTAATGAGGTGTAACGGATAGGTGGCACTGATAGGCAGCACTAAAGAGGTGTAACGGATAGGTGGCACTGATAGGCAGCACTAATGAGGTGTAACGGATAGGTGGCACTGATAGGCAGCACTAATGAGGTGTAATGGATAGGTGGCACTGATAGGCAGCACTAATGAGGTGTAACGGATAGGTGGCACTGATAGGCAGCACTAATGAGGTGTAATGGATAGGTGGCACTGATAGGCAGCACTGAGGTGTAACGGATAGGTGGCACTGATAGGCAGCACTGATGAGGTGTAATGGATAGGTGGCACTGATAGGCAGCACTAATGAGGTGTAACGGATAGGTGGCACTGATAGGCAGCACTAATGAGGTGTAACGGATAGGTGGCACTGATAGGCAGCACTAATGAGGTGTAATGGATAGGTGGCACTGATAGGCAGCACTAATGAGGTGTAACGGATAGGTGGCACTGATAGGCAGCACTGACTGGCATCACTGCTAGGCATTGACTGGCAGCACTGCTTGGCTGCACTGATGGGCACAGGTAGGTGGCACTGCTGAGTGGCACAGGTAGGCGGAATTGGTGGGTGGCACTGCTGGGCACCGATCATCAGTGCCGATCCCTCCTCTGACAATTGCCGGTTCTCGGCAGTACTTTCCTCGCGATCTGACAGCGTGAGGAAAGTGCAGTCGAGAACCGGCAATTGCATTTCCCTGTGATCAGCGTGTCATTGGACACAGCTGATCACGTGGTAAAAGGCCGCTGTGATTGGCCTTTTACCACATCACGTGATCAGCTGTGTCCGTAGGACACAACGATCACGGAGATCGCCGAGTGCGCGCAGGAGAGCGTGTTCTGGGAGGATGTCATATGAGGCCCTCCCAGAACAGGCTAGCCGCCGTGTAGCCGTCATTCGGCTATCTGCGGTTGGCAAGTAGTTAAACTGCCTTCCCCCTCCCCCCTTCAAGACGCTACATTTTTTTTTTTTACGTAACTAAAACCTGTTTTTTGCTACTTCCGGTTTTTACCTCATCACTGGGTCTCTGTTCTTCTCTATGCAATGCAGGCAGAACCCGGCTGGTGGATGGGGCGGCAGTCACATTGTATACCACTATAACCAGAAGTATTACATATCAATTCCTATAGAATTAAAGTTTAGTCTGCTACTATTCTGCCTTTCTTGTTAAACCATCCACCCTAAATCCACGTTCTATTTTCATTACACACCTTATTTAGGACCCAATGTTCTCACTACTGTTCATAATCAGACCCTTCTTGGGGTCAGAGGGTGCAGTCTCTGTTCTTCTCTATGCAATACAGGCAGATGATGGCTGGTGGGAGGGGCTGGCAGGAGGCTTCCTGAAAACATCACAGCATCCTGCCTCAGTACTGCTCTGATGAAGAGCCCTGAGCCGTGATGAAAGTAGTGGGAGGAGTTATCCACCCATCGAAGCATTTGATATTTGCATGTCAGTCTGGAGGGGTGGGGTGGATCGGATGCCGCTAGGAACCAACCCCTGGGAGTCAGGTGTGTTAAGTATATGGAGTGACCTCAGCATCTCGCTAGCCACATCCTCTGACGTGTTTCACCCCGCCCATCGCGAGGGCTTGGTCACAAAAGTGACTTCGGAGGAGTGGGGGGCGTTCCTAGGCAGCCTGTATTTGCATGATCATTGCCCTAGCTAACGCTGACATGAGATGCCAAGCCTCCATAACTGAAGGAACTGAAATCCAAAAAAAATGAAAGGAGCGGGCTGGGGAGGAAAGCCTAGATGATGATGGATGTCCTCCACGCAGGAATTGAGGCGGAGCTCTATCTGACTTGCAGCAGCTTCTAGTGCACACTGTGAGGAGCTCCCAGTGTGCAGTGACATCAGAGCAAGCCGTTTCAGTGCAAGGGAGGAGCCGGTGCACCTGCGCAAGACTGAAGGGGAGGAGCCGGTACACCTGCGCAAGACTGAAGGGGAGGAGCCGGTACACCTGCGCAAGACTGAAGGGGAGGAGCTGGTGCACCTGCGCAAGACTGAAGGGGAGGAGCCGGTGCACCTGCGCAAGGCTGAAGGGGAGGAGCCGGTGCACCTGCGCAAGGCTGAAGGGGAGGAGCCGGTGCACCTGCGCAAGGCTGAAGGGGAGGAGCCGGTGCACCTGCGCAAGGCTGAAGGGGAGGAGCCGGTGCACCTGTGCAAGGCTGAAGGGGAGGAGCCGGTGCACCTGTGCAAGGCTGAAGGGGAGGAGCCGGTGCACCTGTGCAAGGCTGAAGGGGAGGAGCCGGTGCACCTGTGCAAGGCTGAAGGGGAGGAGCCGGTGCACCTGTGCAAGGCTGAAGGGGAGGAGCCGGTGCACCTGTGCAAGGCTGAAGAGCCAGTGCACCTGTGCAAGGCTGAAGGGGAGGAGCCGATGCACCTGTGCAAGGCTGAAGGGGAGGAGCCGGTGCACCTGTAAAAGACTGAAGGGGAGAAGTTGGTGCACCTGTGCAAAACTGGAGGGGAGGAGCCGGTACACCTGTGCAAGACTGAAGGGGAGGAGTCTGTACACCTGTGCAAGACTGGAGGGGAGGAGCCGGTGCACCTGTGCAAGACTGGAGGGGAGGAGCCGGTGCACCTGTGCAAGACTGGAGGGGAGGAGCCGGTGCACCTGTGCAAGACTGGAGGGGAGGAGCCGGTGCACCTGTGCAAGACTGGAGGGGAGGAGTTGGGGCACCTGAGCAAGACTGGAGGGGAGGAGTCTGTACACCTGCGCAAGATGGGAGGGGAGGAGCCTGTACACCTGTGCAAGACTGGAGGGGAGGGGCCGGTGCACCTGTGCAAGACTGGAGGGAAGGTCGGAGTTCCACTTTAAGTCTTATAGGGGAAAAAAAGAGACAAAACTCCCCTCTCTGTGTGTATGGCATCTGCAGAACTTCCCTTCAACCCCCCCCCCGCCTTTGGTATTACAAGTGACAAATGTATTCAGAATCCCTCGGTCCCGGATAGGGATGTCACTGCAGCGGATTCCATTTCGAGGATAATGAGCGGACCTGTGTGACGGGTAAACCTTCTCCATGGTGGAATTCCGAGCGGCCTCGGTGTCACAAAACCTGCGTGGATAGGAAAGGCGCCTCACTAAGGAAACGACCGTTCTGTGAAATGTGTGAATTAGGAAGGATAATGAACCGACTTTACAAAGGTAACTAAAGCGACAAAAGACTCCGAGAACCTGTCAGCGAGCACTCAGAATGTCGATGTCTCTGCTGACCCCGAACACCCTTCTCTTCCCCTTTAACAAGTCAATTATTAGGAAGGGGAAGCCATCTCCCTCTGAATAATGAAGTGGCTTCATGAAGGGCGCCGTAACCTGCTGCCGAAGCCTGCCGGAGATGTGACGGTTCTCAGCATCACCTGTCTCTAGCAGGGAGCTCTATTATAAAAATGGGGTTACCGACCCATCATCATAATTGGATGGAACTACACGAGATTGCCCAAAGTATCGTCCCCCCAGCCCTCCCAATCATTGGATTCCAACCCCCTCCATGGACACAGGTGTATACAATCAAGCCCCTAGGCATGCAGACTGCTTCTACAAACATTGGTGAAAGAATGGGTCGCTCTCAGGAGCTCAGTGACTCCAAGCGTGGTCCCGTGATAGGTGGCCACCTGGGCAATAAGTCCATCCGTGACATTTCCTGGCTACTAAATATTCCACACTCAACTGTTAGTGGGATTATAACAAAGTGGAAGCAACTGGGAGCAACAGCAACTCAGCCACCAAGTGGTAGGCCACGTCACATGACAGAGCGGGGTCAGCGCATGCTGAAGCGCACAGTGCGCAGAAGTCGCCAACTGTCTGCAGAGTCAATAGCTAAAGACCTCCAAACTTGGTGTGGCCTTCAGATGAGCCCAACAACAGTGCGTAGAGAGCTTCATGGAATGGGTTTTCCATGGCCGAGCAGCTGCATCCAAGCCTTCCATCACCAAGTGCAATGCAAAGGGTCGGATGCCGTGGTGTAAAGCACGCCGCTACTGGACTCTAGAGCAGGGGAGATGTGTTCTCTGGAGTGACCAATCACGCTTCTCTGCCTGGCAATCCGATGGACGTGTCTGGGTTTGGCAGTGGCCAGGAGAACGGTACTTGCCTGACTGCATTGTGCCAAGTGTAAGGTTTGGTGGAGGGGGGATTATGGTGTGGGGTTGTTTTTCAGAGGTTGGGCTTGGCCCCCTAGTTCCAGTGAAGGGACAGTTTGGACAATTTCATGCACCCAACTTTGTGGGAAGAGTTTGGGGATGGCCCCTTCCTGTTCCAACATGACTGCCCACCAGTGCACAAAGCAAGGTCCATAAAGACATGGAGGAGCCAGTTTGGGGTGGAGGAACTTGACTGACCTGCACAGAGTCCTGACCTCAACCCCATAGAACACCTTTGGGATGAATTAGAGTGGAGACTGCGAGCCAGGCCTCCTCCCCCGACATCAGTGCCTGACCTCACAAATGTGCTTCTGGAAGAATGGTCCAACCTTCCCATAGACACCCTACTAAACCTTGTGGACGGCCTTCCCAGAAGAGTTGAAGCTGTTATAGCTGCAAAGAGCGGGGCCAACTCATAATTGAACCCTACGGACTAAGACTGGGGGGCCATTAAAGGGGAAATGTGGGTGGAAAGGGCGGTGGCCCAATACTTGGGGCAATATGTTGTAGATTCAGTCTTACTTGGATTTAGACACAAACATAATCTGTCATTTATGGGTCAGTAATTAACCTCTTCCTGTCAGTGTGGTAACAGTACGTGGGCCATAAAGCTGAATTCTAGATATTCAGCAACTTTGCAAAAAAAAAGTGAGGGCGCACTATGAGTTAAGTCTAATTAGGTGCATGTCACCTCTGGGGACATAGCTATGATTTGTTTTGCTTTTTTTTCATTATAGGCGATTATTAGCCTATAATGGAAAAAAAAGCAAAAAATATGCAAAAAATGTAAAAAAAGAAAAAAAAAAATTCTTCATAATGTAATCGTATCTCACAATTACAGTATAAAACAGATGATGCTGCCCCCTTTCGGGCTGCAGTTCCATTTGCAGGCTGAAAATTTATTTTGAAAAGATTATTGAAACCTCCAGCCTGTGGATCATCGCCATGTTATAGATGACCAGGGTTTTTCTTTCAGTGTGAACGCGGGGGGAACACTGTTCCGGCACCTCCAGCACCGAATGTAGGTAATAGCAAGGTGTGCTGGAGGGCCTATTGATGCTGGATGCTGGGGAATCTATTTTCGCTGGAGGGAATCTAATTTTGTGTGGGAGCCCATTGCTTTTGGGGAGGTTTGTTGTTGCTGGTGGGGGGATAATTGCTGCTGGGGGGTCAAATGTTGCCGGAAGGGATCAATTGTTGCCGGAAGGAATCAATTGTTGCCGGAAGGAATCAATTGTTGCCGGAAGGAATCAATTGTTGCCGGAAGGAATCAATTGTTGCCGGAAGGAATCAATTGTTGCCGGAAGGAATCAATTGTTGCCGGAAGGAATCAATTGTTGCCGGAAGGAATCATTGTTGCCGGAAGGGATCAATTGATGCTGGAAGGGATCTACTGTTGAGGGAGAGATCTATTGATCCTGGCTACTGGAGGGTCTGTTGTTGCTGCTGGGGGCCTATTGTTGCAGGGGGTCCATTGATGTTGGGGGGTCTATTGTTGCAGGGGGTCCATTGATGTTGGGGGTCTATTGTTGCTGGGGTGGATCTATTGTTGCTGGGGTGGATCTATTGTTGCTGGGGTGGTATTTTGTTGCAGGAGGCCCATTGATGTTGGGGGGGTCTATTGTTGCTGGGGTTGATCTATTGTTGCGAGAGGTCCATTGATGCTGGGGGGTGTCTATTGTTGCTGGGGTGGTATTTTGTTGGGAGAGGTCCATTGATGCTGGGG